TTTCACGATAGTAAGCACATTCATATAAGCATATTCTGGATCACATAGGTGGTTTTTTTCGTGATAGTAAGCACATTCATATAAGCATATTCTGGATCACATAGGTGGTTTTTTTTGTGATAGTAAGCACATTCATATAAGCATATTCTGGATCACATAAGTGACTTCCTTGTAAGAAATACCTAATACTTGAAGTCTTTATTTCCATTTATTATCAGGTAGTGCTACTTTAATCTTGAGATGAGGCAAAAAAAAAAAAGTAGATTTTATAAATATATGCTATATTTGGGTCTGTTGGTATCATGGCCTGCTACATGAAGGAATCCCTGCAGCTCATTCAAAAGAAAAAAATGGTGTTAGCCAGGCATGGTGGTGCATGCCTATGGTCCCAGCTACTCAAGAGGCCGAGACAGCAGGATCGATTGAACCCAGGAAGTCATGGTTGCAGTGTGGTATGATTGCACCACTGAACTCCACCCTAGGTGACAGAGTGAGACTCTGTCTCAATCAATCAATCAATAAAATTAAAAGTGGTGACTTTAGTCATCACATGGCCCAAGGAATGACTAACCCAGAAAACCTGCTATGGAGAAGTCAGAGCCATATTCATGGTGCAAGTGATGTAGTCTCAGCAAAACTCTCTCTCTCTCTCTCTATATATATATATATATAGTTTTGTGTTTTTTTGTTGTTTTTTTTTTTTTGTAGATGGAGTCTCACTCTGTCGCCCAGGCTGGAGTGCAGTGGCATGATCTAGGCTCACTGCAACTTTTGCCTCCTGGGTTCAAGCCATTCCCCTGCCTCAGCCTGCCGAGTAGCTGGGACTACAGGCGCATGTCACCATGCCTGGCTGATTTTTTCTATTTTCAGTAGAGATGGGGTTTCACCGTGTTAGCCAGGATGGTATCGATCTCCTGACCTCGTGATCCGCCCACCTCAGCCTCCCAAAGTGCTGGGGATTACAGGCGTCAGCTACTGCGCCCAGCCACAATATATTATTTTACATTTGACTAACGTTATCAACTTGAATTTTTATTTCATTGTTTGAATGTAATTTATAAACCATTTTAACAATCACATAAGAAATAAATCACATAAGAAATAAGAAATAAAGTCTAAGGAATTTATACCTGCAAATACTGACATTATAATAAAAAAAATTAAAGTCAATACTGAAGTCCACAGAATTCTTTCCCTTTAAGAGTAAACCACAATAACCGGTATCATGCAAAATCCCCTCACCCCCTACTTCTAGGATCTCCCAGAGAGGTAATACACTTGGGCTCAAAACCAATCCAGTCCCTATAGTGGAGGGCTCTCTTGAAGGAGCCTCTCTGTTGTCATGTTTGCCAGTGTCCCTGCCAAGGGTCACTTTCCTATGTTCTCAATTTTCCATGTGCCAGGGTAATGTTGGCTTCCTTCTTAAATGGATCCAGGAGGCCCTCAAACCAGTTCAGCACCATCCTGGGCCCAAAGCGACCCTCCCTGTGTTCCAAGTCCCCCTAAGTCAGGAAGTCACCCCTCTCAGGGCTTCTCCTCTCAGGTTTCCTTCTCCTATAAGGAAATCTCCAGAGTTCTCCTGCCCTGTCCTCCTGCCAAAACTCTAACCCCTCATTTCCATAATACTCCACCACCTTCCCTGCTTCCCTACAGGTAAGGCATACTAAGCTAAGAAAATATCTCCCATTCTCTGATTCCCTCAAAAAAAAAAAAAAAGGTCTACAGAGAAGCACAGCGTTGACGCAAATATTTCATTGTCACATGCATGCTTAGCTTCTTATGCTAAAACAATTTCAGACGTGCAAAGTTTCCAAAAATTTTACCTCGACTGAAACAAGAGAATAAACTAAGAAAAAAGGGAAAATAGGGACATCAGGAAGTAGAAGATCCAAAACAGGACACAGAATTCCCAAGGTAATGGTGAAGGGAATTTCCAGATCCAGCTCTGTTCAGCTGACTTGGAGCACCATCAGTCCAGATGAGCTGAAGGATGGAGGGCTCTGGGAGAGATGCCCCAGGAAGGCAAAAGCACAACCACCAAAAGCAGTTATAGGTTTCCTGGTAAGTTTGACCTCACCTCATGAAAAGCTGTACCACAGTGTTACTGGAAGGTATGGGAAGATTTAGCTTCCCATAGATTTAGCTTTGTACCTTTTAGGTACAAAGGAAGTTGAACAAATGAAAAAATAAGGCATTATTAAGTTCAGGTAAAATAAAAGGTTGTACACACACACAAAAGGAATTATAATCATAGTACACTAGTAGCTTATCACAGAACAATATTTACATAGTAACAATCTAAATGCTAAAACTATTTAACCAAAAGTTAGTAATTTGAGGGAGAATGGAAGGAGATAAGAGATTTTAGAGGTAAATGTTCATCTATCATAATAGGAAGTTAATCATTACTGTTTCAAGAGAGAGGAGTATAAGCATGAAAATATGGAAGTATATTTCGAGAGAAAAATATGAACTAAAAGCGGATTCTTGTATGGAACAAAGTAGAGATCCTGAGAGTGGTACAAGAGACCACTATAAGCCTTTGATTGCTATTTGACTTGTCAAATTGTGTGCTTGTTTCGATTTTTTTTTTTTTTTTTTTTTTTTTTTGAGACGGAGTCTCGTTTTGTCACCCAGGCTGGAGTGCAGTGGTGTGATCTCGGCTCACTGCAACCTCCACCTCCTGAGTTCAAGCGATTCTCCTGCCTCAGCCTCCCAAGTAGCTGGGATTATAGGCATGCACCACCACACCCAGCTACTTTCTGTATTTTTAGTAGAGACAGGGTTTTACCATGTTGACCAGGCTGGTGTCAAACTCCTGACCTCAGGTGATCCACCCGCCTCGGCCTTCCAAAGTGCTGGGATTACAGACATGAGCCACCATGCCCAGCCTGAATAAAGGAAAATTAAGGAAGCATTTAAAAAATAAAAATCTGATTTTCCAGTTCAAGGGTGACCCTCCTAGTATTTCCCTACAGATATTTTCTACCTGTCCTTGAAGTGTTCCAAGATCCTGAGACTGAGACCTGCAAGGTAGTAGCAAGAATTGAATTCAGAGCTCAGGAAGCAGTTCCTGGCTTCAGGAGAGCGAGAAGAGGCCTTTCCTTCCCTGGGATTTCTTAGACTGGGAAGGAATTTATCAACAGATGCTCTGAGGCAGGGGGAGGGGCTATAATACCATTTGGAGCAAAAGCAAGTTTGCATTTTGATCTTTACAGAGCTCTACTTCCTAGAGAACTGAGAGCTGGATCTTTCACTACCTGCTAGACCTAGGGAGGGGCAGTTTGCTAAACTTACAAGTGGGGAAAGAGCCTCCACCTTCACCTCTTTCACCCTTTCTATAGGTCACTATGAGGATTGTGAGTGAGAATGGATAAGAAGGTGCCAAAGTCAAAGTACTGTCCACTCAGTCGTTGTTCTGTAAGTCAGGCACAGTATCAGACAGCAGGGATTCATGCCCTCGAACAGTCAAAATATGTTAAGTGAAGGACTGCTGTGCATCAGGCAAATCTGATCTGACCCTTGCTCAAAGGGGCTAATAGCTGGTGGAGGGGGTCTGTCCAGGTCACTTCCTACCATACTGTGTAAACCTACTCCCCTACCCTCAAAGAGGGCCTTCCTGGCCTTCTCAGATTTTCATACTTTCTCCTCTATGGGCGGCCCATTGTCCACCCTCATCTTCCATCACCACCCCAGAGCTTCAAACTCTGGTATCCAAGAGAGGCACATCCTGCGTGTCCTGCATGCAAATCACACTCACCCTGGGTTCAAGACACACTGACTCCCTCCGCATCTTCACCTACCCCTAATTCAGACTCAACTAGACTGGGAGCCCTGGGGTGGGGGAGCTTGCAAAAGCCTGATGCTTAGCATGTGGGTCAGCACCAGACAGCAGGACGGGGTCAAAGGCCAACTCCCTCCCTCACACCTCTGAGTCTGTTCAGTGCTACCCTGTCCTTGGTGCTGGGGACAGGCAGGAATCAGCTCAGGTCCCTTCTGCCCCTTATTACAATCCAGCAGGGAAGGTAAGACAGGGGGCATAGCCAATGGTGCAGTGCCTGGAAGTTCAGAGTGGGTGGGGTATGGTTCTGTGGCCTGGCCTCACTCTTTATAGTAGGGAGCGCTAATCCTTTAGGCTGAGCCTCTTGCCTGAGGCCAGCGCCTTTACTCCATAATACTATGCATACTAGTCACCTGGGAATTTTGCTAAAATGCAAAATCTGATGATTCAGTGAGTCTGAGTGGGGCCGAGATCCTGCATTTCTATTTATTTATTTATTTAAATGAGGTCTCCCTATGTTAGGCCAGGCTGATCCTGAACTCCTGGCCTCAACCGATCCTCCTGCCTTGGCCTCCCAAAATGCCGGGACTACAGGCATGAGCCAGCACGTCCTGCCAGATTCTGCATTTCTAACAAGCTCCCAGGTGGTGGTGTAGGTCTGTGGACCACACTTTGAGTGCAAGGCTGTAGAGCATTTATCTTATTTCTCTGGGTGTTGATGGTTGGATTAATGACTCTCCCCACTGGCCCACAACCTCCATGAAGCAGGGATTTTGCCCATTCATTCAGTGATATTTCCCCAGTGCCTAGCACAGGCTCGGCACATTAACTAACTGGAACAGTGAATCAACGGCCAGTGCTTCTTTATCCATGGGAGCTGGGAATAATCCCAGACAGCAGGCAACCTGCTGCTCAGATACATTCACACAAGTGTGTACACACACATGCCCAGCTCATCTCGTCTCTACTGGGCTGCGATGCAGGAGATGGCATTGACTAGTCCTACTATGTGCACGGCTATGGCTGAATCACTTCCTTTTTAAAACAAATTCGTGTTAGCCACTAATCCTGCTGAAGAATCACTTCCTAATCCCATTTAATGAACTTCTGATTGATGTCTCACAAGGAGGTTCACCCCATGTGGCAACCCAAGATCTAGAACAAAGCTCACCCGGTCTCCCCAGACCACTCCCCCAAGTCACCAGCCAGCACACCAAGCCCAGAAAAAGGTTTCTTTCTTTTTAATTAAACCAACTTTAATTAAAAATAATAATAACCCAATAAGTCCTAAGTTTTCCAGGGAGTGGGGCAGACCTAAAGGCCCACCAACTCCCCTTTCAGTCATGAGCCCTGGTGCTGCCTGTCTCTGAAATCTCCAAGAAGCGTCCTCAGGGCGTGAAGAAGGCAGCCAGGTGTGTCTACGTGAAACGGGGGCTCTTACCCAGGAAGAAACTGAGGGCAGACAGGTAAGTGGAGGTGGGGGGCAAACTTGTAGGGAAATGAAGGGACTCTAGCGAGTAAGTCATGAACCCAGGAGTCTGACCTCTAACGTGTCGGAAAAACATGAGAGAAGGTTGATGAAGTGCAGTCGGTGGAGGAGACGGCTTGGGATCACAGATCTGTCTTGCAAAGGCTTGGAACTCACCAGGAAACCTGGGGTGGGGGGCGCCGCAAAGCTGGGGGCGCTCACAAGTGGAGGGAGAAGAAATGAGAGACTGGCAGGTCACAGGGGATGCTTCTGTCCGGTGGCGAGATGGTGGGAGCCTCCCCAGGGATGGGGGACGGAGAAGGGTGTAGCAGGAGTCTGAGTCCAGGAGGCCAAGACGAGAGGCGCTGGGTGTGCTCCAAGCCAGGGTGGGGGCAGAGGTGGGGCGCTCGCGGGCGGCGCCGCAGGCCTGGGGCGGGACAGGTCGCACAGGTGCCTTCCCTTGTGGCGCAGGCTCACAGGTAGCGCTCCAGCCCCTGCGCGAAGCCCGGCTGCCTCAGGTAGGCCTCTCCCGGGGTGAGCGGGCCGAGCGCGGCTGCCGGCCCGGCCAAGGCCAGGAGGGGCTCAGCGGGCAGCGGGCCGGGGCGCGTCGCGGGCAGCACCAGGCGGTCAGGGGCCTGCGAGTAGAGTGGCGGGGAGGCGGCGGTCGCGCAGGGCGGGAAGGCGGCGGCGGCGTCGGGCGCGGCGCAGCAGGGCGGCTCCGGAGCGCCCAGCCCCGCCAGCTCCGGCTGCAGGCTCACCAGGCTGTCGACGCTGAACAGGCGCGCAGGCGGCGCGGGGCCCGGGCCGGCAGGGGGCGGCGGCGCCAGCAGCGCTGGGCCGGGCGCGGGCGCGTAGGGCGCGTAGGGGAAGGGGAGCGGCGGCCCCGGCGGCGCGGCCGGGTGAGCGGGCAGCTCGGCGCGCTTGAAGCGCTTGCGGCGCCGCAGGAAACTGCCGTTGTCGAACATGTCGGCGGCCGCGGGGTCCAGCGTCCAGTAGTTGCCCTTGCCCGGATTGCCCGGCTCGCGGGGCACCTTGACGAAGCAGTCGTTGAGCGTGAGGTTGTGGCGGATGCTGTTCTGCCACTTGCGCGGGCTGTCACGGTAGAAGGCAAAGCGCTCGGTGATGAAGCGGTAGATGGCGGCCAGCGTGAGGCGGCGACCCGGGGCGTGCGCCAGGGCCATGGCGATGAGCGCGATGTACGAGTAGGGAGGCTTCCCGCGCTGCAGGGGCCGCCGCCGCCGCCGCCCTGGGCCGGGCGCGGGCGTGGGGGCCGCCTCCCCGCGGCCAGCCGCTGCCTCCTCGGGCTCCCGCCCTGGCTCGGCTCCTGCGAGGGGCGACGGCGGCGGCCCCGACGGCGCGACCGCTGGCAGAGCCGGGAAGCCCGAGAACGCGGCGGGCGGATCCATGTCGCTGCGCCCGGCCATCGACTGCGGCAGCCCCTGCCCGCGCGACTCCGGGACGGCAGGGGCCGCCGACCCGCTTTATATGGACACTGCCACCTCCCCCCGCGCCACCGCCAGGGGAGAGGGCTCAGGCCTTCCCAGCTGGCCAGCGCCTCCCCTCTAATTTCCTCTCCCAGCCCCCTTACTCTGTTCACGGTGCCCTCCTCCATTTCGCCCCTCCCTTTCTGCCTTTGGATTAGTTTTTCCCAGACCCAGACTTACCCCTTCCCCATCTCGGTTAGGTCAGCCCCTGGCCCTGGCCCCATCGCACTGTATTTGGTCAGTCCCCTTCCCTTTCCACCCCTCCCTCTACCCCCTCTCCTTTGGATCATTCCCAATCACAAATCCACCCATTCACTCTCCCAGCCCCCTCCCCATTTTGCTCCTCCCAGTAGTCGGTCCCCTCATCCTCCTCCTGGTCCTTCCATCCCCAGCTGGGACAGAAATGAAGGCTGCCTTGCCAGCCCTCAGTATCCTGATGGGGAGGTGTCAGGCCCACTTGCAGACATTAGGGAACCTGGGCCAAGGTAATGAAGGAGCGGGGCAGGACAGAGCCAGGCCGGTTTTGTCTCTGGGAGGATGTTTGGCTGCTCCAGATCAGGGTCACCATCTCGCCTCTCTGCCACCCCCCTCCCCCATACCCCTGTCCTGCCCTCCCTCCAGGCCTTGAGAGCATTCTCTGAAAAAACAGAATCGTGGAAAGTGGTGCAGCCGCTTTAAATCAAGAGCTCCCAGGAAATCCACAACTTGGAGTTGCCTTTCTGGCTGCCTCCTCTCCACACCCCTCCTGTTGGAGAAAACAGCTTCTGTTAGCGCGCGCCCCCCCCCCCCCCCCCCCCCCCCACACACAGTACAAAATGTAGGCTTCCACAGGCTGGGGATCTGAAAGAGCCGCATTCTGACCCAGAAACACCACACATCTCACTGGGGATGGGGGTCTTTGGCAGTGTTTGTTAAAAACTCAGTCTGAGAAATTCCACCCACAACTGCCATCCAGAGGGATGCAGCACCCAGCCTATTTTGGGAAACCTCTTCTCCAAGGAGACAGGAGAGACCCATCCCCAGCTCAGAGGGAACCACAGAGTGAAGGAGACTTGTCTTAAAGTGCATTGTCCTGGGGACAGGCAGATCAAGGGACTTGGATATGGAGCAGGGCTGGAAGGACAGTGAGCCCACTGAGGTACCTGACTGAGTTTAAGGGGAGTTCAGTCTCAGGGCCTTGCAAGTGCAGTCAGCACTTGAGAGCCAGGGCCTCCCTACATTTGGGGTCATGGGTGTCTCACTTGCCCCATCCTAATCCCCCAGCCATGCTATAGAGTATCCCCAGGTATAGGTGACCAAAGCTAGTTACAGCAGGCCTGTAAACTCCAAACTCAAAATCCAGTTCAAAATCCAAATGCAAAGCATGGAGCTCAAGGGCCCCTCTCTCAGCTCCAATCTCAGCTGATGACATCACAGCCACCATTACTGAGCATTTTGTATTTGGTAAACACTTTATGTACATTATTGCACTTAAGTTTGGGCACCCCATGAAGTGAGTACTGTTATTATTCCTGTTTTGCAAATGAAGAAACTAAGGTTCTGAGAGGTTAAGTGGTTTCCCTGACTTCACACAGCTAGTAGTAAGTGGTAGAGCTGGAATTAAATGTGAAGTTCAAAGCTCTGGCACCCCACTTTTCTAAGAATGCCATCCTTTAAAGCTGAGCTGAGACATTAGAAAATTAAGAGTATTTCCAGCTCCAACACCTTCAGCTACCAAGGTAAATTCTTAGCTTCTCTCCTCACCTTCTGGTCAGCATATCCAGGTGCCCATTGGGCATAACCACATGGATATTTCAAGGTATCTCAAACCCAAATGTCCTAAATGAAATGCATCTCTTCCTGTACCCAGTACATCCTCCAGCCCTGGCCGGCTCTCCTTCCAGCATTCTATATCTCAGCAAATGGACCACTCCCTTTTCCTTCCCACCACCACCAGATCAAAGTGTGGTTATCATCATCTTGGGCTCCTTCCTCCCCACTCACTCTCCACATTCAGACAACTGCAAGTCCCATCAATTCCACATGGATCCCAGATCCATCTCTCCTTCAGTTCTCCTGGCCTCAGTTCAGCCTTCATCACTCACCAAGTACTTCTGGACCAGTCCCTTAGCGAGTGCTCCGGGCAAGACAGAGATGAAGACAAAATCTGATGGAGAGATAGACAATTGCCAGTTATAGTAGAGGTGGTCAGAGGGGCTACAGAAGCAGAGAGGAAAGAGATGACATTTGGAGATCTAGAGATAATCCCTCACCCACAACAATGAAGAGTCAGCTCAGTTTATATTCTAGCAGGTCCTGCCTCAGAACCTTCTTCAACCTCCCCACCCTGCATTCTTTTTTCTTTTCTTTTCTGTTTTGTTTTGTTTTGTTTTGTTTTGTTTTGTTTTGTTTTGAGACATAGTCTTGCTGTGCCACCCAGGCTGGAGTGCAGTGGGGCTATCTGGGCTCACTGCAACCTCTGACTCCCAGGTTCAAGCGATTCTCCTACCTCAGCCTCCCAAGTAGCTAGGACTACAGGCGCCCACCACCACGCCCGGCTAATTTTTGTATTTTTAGTAGAGATGGAGTTGCGTCATGTTGGCCAGGCTGCTCTTGAACCACCCGCCTCGGCCTCCCAAAGTGCTGGGATTACAGGCATGAGCCACCGCACCTGGCCCCACCCTGCATTCTACCACCTGAAGGTAGGCCATATGGAACATAAGATAGTGCAGTCACAATGCCCAGCTCACCAAAGAAGACAAGACAAGCCACTGCAGCATCAGGAAATCTAGCTTCAGGAGCAGAGTGACCTGGGGCCACTTCTCATTTGAGCCTCAGTGAGCCTCAGTTTCCTCAAACAGAATAATGGAAGCAATCATGCCCTGTCTCAGCATTTTGAGAGCCAAATGAGATCATGTATGAAAGTGCCTGGCCCACAATGGCACTTAGCAAGAGGTGCTTTCTTTTCCTACTACACAATTGGCATAATCAGTATTAACCCAGGGGAAGGAGAGAGGCAGGGCCAGAGAAGTTATTTCAGCACCTGCATATTTTCAACCAGGTGCAACATAATCCTGCAGCTAGACTCAAGGGCAGACCAGAGCTGACAAGGTTCATACACCACCTTTCCCACCTTCCCTTAGGGATGAAGCCCCTCTGAAGCACCCACCACAGCCTCCATCTCACACCTCCAGGGAGTGAGGGGGTTGAGGGAAAAGTGGCTTTTATTACCACCTGTAGCTACGTGCAGTTTCCTTGTACTTTCAGTTTTCTGGTCAATGTGTAGAGCCTAGGACATAGTACATGTTCAATAAATGAAACTGAATGTGTGGTTGGCTATGCTAATCCTGGGAAGGGTGGGGGTGGGGAGCTAGGCCAAAGGGGTGAGAACCCAGACTTTTCCAGTTCTTTGTGCCTGTCTGGCCCCCTCCATTGGGCCTGCTTCCCGGAGCTGGAGCCGAGCAGGCCGGTGTTAGGGGGCGGCCCAAGGGCTAATCCGTGTTTTCAGCGTGGCTGGGCCCTCTTTTCACAGGCCCTGGGCCGGACGTGATGCGGCTGAGCATCCGGGCATAAGATGGCCAGTGAAGGCGGCCCCTTTCTCATGGGCCTGGATTCCAGGCGGCCCAGCGTCTGAGTGGAGCCCCTGGGGCGGGAGGAACACAGTGGCTGGGCTGGGCAGTCCTTTGTCTGACCACACTGGGTGGATATTCGGGCTGGCAGGAGGGATTAATGGCCAGGGATTGGCCCTGGGGCCGGCCTTCCCACTGCCCTTTGGAGGCCAAAGGCCCAGGTCAGGGCACACAGCGTCGATGACTCTCTAGATAGGAGTGGAAATTCCCACCCTTGTCCAAAGCTGTTAGCACTAGCCCCCAAGACTCCCTTCCCCCAGCTCCAGTTCTGCAAAGGCACCACTAGCCAAGACAGACCTTGAGGCAAGGAACATGGGGTGGGGGCCAGGGCTTCCCAACTACTCTGCCTAGGAGAAAGGGCTGAGGCAGAAAGCCCTTTCAGGTACTTGACCCAAGACACCCATCCTCATGATTGCCCTTCAGAGCTCTGGGAAGAAAGAGCCATGTTAACTCAGTGAGTGCCCAAGGGACCAGCCTGAGGCTCCTGAAGGCTTCCTGGAATGTTCCTCAAACACTTTTAGTTTGAGGCTATCCCAGAGTCGTTTATTTCTAAAGCCCTCCATCACAGCTTCCACCAGTCTCAGAGCCCAGAGGCTGCAGAAGGGGCTCTGGAGCCAAGGAAATCTCAGAGATTCCCCAACACCATCTCTTGCCACTCAGAGGTCCTGAAGGCTGCTGCAGGGCTTCCTCCCTCTTACACCCAAAACTAGAGCTGCCCAGGATACTGCTTGTTCCTCAGAAGCCCGAGGCAGGCAGTTTCCCGCTGGCTGGGGGGCATCCTGGGACCCGCCTCTGGCAAGGCCTTTTCTAACCAGACTGCTCCTGAACTAGGGATGACAGCCACAGCCCCATCCTTACCAGCAGGGTCTGACTCCAGAGGGCCTGAGCCAGGCTCAGGAAAGGTAGCAGGTACAGGCCTGACTCTGGAGAGAGCGTCAGGGAGTAACCCAGGAGGAGGATGCCCCCTTTGTGATTCTTTATTCCTCATGCTCTTTCATTTAGCAAATTCCAGTCATCTGTGTCCAGGCTGCCCTGGGTGCTGGATCCTATGGTGAGTCAGACTGTTCTCTGCCTTCACTGTGCTCAGGAGGAAGCAGCCCCTGAACTTCCCCCATAAAAGGTAGTTGGTGTATGGTGTGGGTAGAATGAGGACTGCAGGAAGAAGAGACCTTACGCTGTCTGCAAAGTGGGGAATGCATCCCGGAAGGGGTAAAGCTGCAGACGGCCAAGTGAGGAAGGCCCCAGACTGGATTAGGGGCTCAATCTCGGTGGCTCCGTAACATCTCCATCACTGCGCTTACCTTATCATGTTATAATTGTTCCTTCGTGTGTCTGTCTGCCCCATTCAACTTTGTATGCGTTGAGGGCACATACCATGTGTCACTCAACTTTGGATCCCTGGTACTTAGTATAGTGCCTGGGAGAAGTTGATGAGCAATAAATATGTATCAGATGGGTGGAAGGTTGATGGCCGAATACCAGGTGGAGGCAACTTTGGGTGCAAAATCTGAAGGCAAGTGTGTATTGTCCATTCTGGGATGTGCAAGATTTTTTGGGAAGTGTTTTTCTTAGAGTTACACAAGTTATATGTGTAAAGTTCTTAGAACACTGCCTGGTACATATCAGTGCTGTGTAACTGTTAGCTGTTGTTGCTACTGGTATTCACTGTGGCTGGTGTAGACTGCCAAGGGACTGAGACAGGAAAGTAAACGGGCTCAGATTGGAGATGACTTTATGTGCTGGACCAAGTAGGACCTTTCTAGAGACAGGGAGTCTGAAATGTTTCCAGCCGGGGAGTGACATGATCAGATGTCTCATTTAGGTCACTCAGTCTACCAGGGGATGGGCTAGAGAGGGAAGAGGCTAGAGGC